ATTCAAATAAATATTCAAAATAATAGTTTTAAATTTGTTTATTTTGAAGGATATGGCACATATTTCAAAGCTTTGCTCCGTTATATGTAAGAAGGCTGAATTTCAACGAAATTATTATTTTGTGTTAGACTACATGAAGCACTACATGAAAATCCTTACGGCGCTCTAGGATCGGTGCCTGTGCGAATTTAGCGACTCACGTTGGATTTGCATCGCTGAAGTAGGTTCAACCTATTAATTTTGATTCAAATTTTTGACCAATGGATAAAAATACATAAATTTTAAGACAAAAAAATTTAAATTTCGTTTTAGCCCAAGTAACAAACTTTTTCTTATATTCGAAGTATAAAGTTCACTAGTTTATCAAAGGTTTAGAATTAGTGGTCTACTTTCAACACTTATACCTTGAATCTAAAAGATTTTTGTTTACTGAAGACAGTTTCATAGTGAATTGGATTGTCATAATACTTTCCATGAAGGTATTATTGTGTCGATATATGTATATTTCCTATTTTCAACACTTTTATCCCAAAACTGTATATTCTGTTTACAAATCATCAAACACTCACTTGAAATTAGTTTTTTATTATTTTTCTTTCTTTTAAATATTCTACGAATGTATTACTATTATAATATGTATATATGTTTCCTATATTTAACACTTTCATTCCAAAATTGTATACTGTGACCTATAATTCGGTTTAAGGCCAGTTTGAACAATAATTTTTTTTGTTATTGTAACATAAATATTGCAATTAGTTTATATATGTTTCTATGACAAGACTTAATTTTAATTAATTTCTAGATCATCATATGGTGCAGTTTGTTAAACCAAATCTTTTAGGAAATAATAAAGAATTCAAAACCAATTTTGTGAATCCTATAACGAATGGTCAATATGAAGATTCAACAGAAGATGATATCAAACTGATGATGAAAAGAACCCATGTACTTCATAAGCTATTAGTTAAGACTGTTCAGGTGAATCAATATTTATATGAGTATTAGTTTTTTCACATAATTCTCTTGACGACGAGGATAGATAGTTTTGAGCTATGTATATGAACCTTCACTATTTTAATACCATTCCGGCTTTATTTGAAAGTATTTTACATTGCAGCGAATAGAAGATACCGAATTACAGATTTACCTTCCCAAAATGCAAGACCATGCATTATTTATTCAATTGAATCAGGTTCAGGTGGATCTTTACAATCAATATTCTGAAATTATAAAGTTAAACATTGGCAAAAAGCAACATAAAGGATTCTTCAGCGATTTTTCAGTTTTCCAGTTAATATGTACTCACCCCCACCTTTTATCAATAATGGAAAAAATGAGGACTAAGAGAATAACAGAAACGGATGTCATTACAAATGAGGACGATCAGCCTATCTGCAATTTGAGTGGTTGGTGGAAGGATAAAATGCCGAAAGATGCCAAAAAAAAAATTGACTATGGAAGTAAATTGGTTGTTCTTAAGGCTATAATAGAAGAATGTGAAACAATTGGCGATAAAGTGTAAGAAATCAATTATTCTTATGTATGTGTTTATTCTTAGATTATTTACAGTGACTTGATTTCATATTTACCAAGTATGTCTTGCAAAGTTAAGATATCTGCATACTCTATCAGTCATTCTTTTTGCATTATTTCATGATTCATAGAGAATTTGTATATCTATGGATCCTAAGAATAATATCTCAAATAACTTTTTTCTGGTTTTGTTTGCCATGGTCTGCATCCAATAGAAACAAAACCACGCCCGCCACCGGTGGTAGATAGATTAAATTCAAAGTGAGAGTGGTTCTATTCGGTTCTCCACTGCAACTCTTGAGGATTTTTTTGTGGCTTACACCAAATCAAACTCAACCGAATAAATTCAGCTGCTTAATGGAGCTGATTACTTTATCTAGTGAGTGATTTTTCAGACCAGTTTGTGAGAGTGCTGCAGGGCAGCCATAGAATTGGCTCTCTGCTGTGAGGAATAATCCTCTGTAAGGTTACTAGGGTACATGTTCGATTAATGACCCATTTATTTTGTTGTTTAAATATGTTTAAAATATGTTTTTTCCGTTAACCAGTTATCGCACCCCTACGAACGACAACCCTCAGAAGTCGAAACTTGTGCGAGCTAAGGACTAACGAGGTCTTACCTTTTAAAGTGTGTTTGTAGAAATTCATATTGAATACAGGATAAAGAAAATAACTTTTGTTACTTGAGAACAAACAAACCAAAGCTAACAAACCCAAACTGGTCGTAACAAATAATAAACTAAGTAGAAATTAGACAAAAGTTATTTTCTTCCTCAATCTAGTGAGGACCTACCTTTGTTAGGTAGGTAGGCAAGACAAATGTGTGTAGCTTTGGAATCATAAATGTGGACCATTTCTGAAATATCCCCTATAGCAGGTATAATGACATACTGAAGAGATTCCAGTTTGCTCACCGATATTGAAGTAGTTGGATGTTGAAGGTGCATGGTCTCTACTTATTGATTTATACAATTTCTGAAACAGAAACGTACTGTTCAGAAATATCGTCCATATAAATTAAATTACATAGATTATGATGAACGCTTGTTTTGATATAAAAAATCAATATAAATGAAAATAAAAACATCTAAGTACAAGCATAGAACTCGCTCACTTTTCGTCTAAAATAAATTACTTCAATTTTTTTTTAACGTCTCTAGACGCCTATTTGTTTTGATAGCATAGGGTATTCTATTATAAATGCACATTCTGTATAATAAAGATCTTTTTGATACCAAGAAGTGTCATATTTACTAGGCAAAAGGTTATCTTTTTTTTTTTTTCTTTTTTTATAAGAATGTTGTTTGTTACTCTGAACATATCTCTTTTTTTTGAAACATAACATGCCACCTCATGCCACACACAGATGTCAGGGTCATTATTTTAAGAGATTCAAAAACATCTCTACATGAATCACGAAAACCCAGACCGCCTATAATTCTGACTGCTCGGTTTTGCAATTTTAAAACTTTTTCAGCATTTGAGGCATAACCTTAGTGCATTATTGCATATCTCATGCTTGAGTGGAAGCAGGTAAAGTAAATTTGTCTAACTATATTGGAGCTACAGTTTTTGGACATGACTGCTAAGGCAAACACTCTTTAGTTTTCAATATATACGTCTTGAAGCCCTGAGGCCATGATCTATTTTCGAACCAATCATTTTTACGTATTCAAAAAATATTTTATTGTGAGATTTTTACCAAACAGTTCTACAAAAACGCAATACGTGTTTCGCCATACACTGGCTTCTTCGGGCGTGTCTTTACTCATATATAGTTAACAGTAATTTTCAGATAGAACTATTTCATTGCACAAAGATTTTTTTTTTTGATTTTCCATTATAGTGTGTGTATCATCAGCGTAGGAGGCAACTAAAGATAAAGGGTGCTGGAGAAATTTCAACATATCATTATTCATATATACCACAAAGAGAGTTGAGCCTTTTATCTATTCCTGTGGCACTCGCGCGATAACAATTTTCATGTCAGGTAAAGTTTTTAATTCTGACTGGTTGCGAACGGTCCAAAAGATGAAAGGTGAACCAGTCCAGTGGAATTCCTCTCACTCCGTATATCTCCAGTTTTGTTAGGATAATTTTATGTTTAACACAATAAAAAGCTTTGCTGAAGTCGATAAATAATCCCAAAGCAACTCGTTATTTATCAAGTGTACCTACAACGCCACTTACAAATATCTCTGTTTGGTAAAACCATGCTGACATTTTGATAGCAGTTCATTGCATTTAAGAAAAGCCACTTATTGTTTATTTATAGTAGCTTCCAACAATTTAGAAAAGCCAGATAAAAAACTTATTCCTTGGTAATTTTCCAATGCCTTTTTAATTTTCATTTTCTACAGAAATATACCCTCATGCAATCAATGATGTACGTAAGAGTTTCAGTAATGCAAGAGGCGATGCCTTTTAGTAGAATATTTGATATTACCTGCAGAGTTTGAGGTAAATTCAAAGAACATTCTGATCTTGAGGTCTTTTCTGGCTACATTACCTAGTCTCCTGGGTTTGTTAACAGGATTAGGAGTTAGAGAACTGAGAACATTGCCCTTTAAAGGAAGGTCAGCTGGGGTCGTTTAGTTGGCATCTATCTCCTTTGTAGAGTCAGAGGCGAATTCTTTAGTTACTTCTTGGCCCATAAAGGTTCTCACCTAACGAAAAGGTCCATCAAGGCAGAGCCCCTCAATACCGTGACAAAAATTTCAATGACGAAAATTCCATTAGTGATACTGAGTGGGCTTAGAGCCGTACATCTTTCAGGCATGTGTGTGTACACACATTGGGATGAGGCTGTCATGAAGGAGGTGGTGTACATCAGCAGGGATATTCTAACGTCTCCGCTGCAGGGCGACATCACAGGAGGATATGTGATGGAATCGCCTTATACTTGATGAGAATTCATAACGTAATCAAGAAACATTTTTTTGTTAGATTCTTACTAAACAGTTTTATAAAATGCAATATGTGTTCCACTATACAATAGCTTCTTCGGGCGTATCTATACTAAGTCTAGTATGGACACGCCTGAAGAAGCTATTGTGCATCGAAACACGTGTTGCGATTTTGTAAAACTGTCTCCATCTTTATACAAAAGATTGTGGAAAATTTCCAAAGAAAGTAAGAAATCAATCAAGTTCAAAATAAACTCTTAACAAAGATGTGTAGATGGATCATGCATAAAAATTACTTTCAGATACAAACTGGAAGAAAAAACCCTCTCGAAACAACTACTATCACGTGAAATCACTTTTTTCTATTCAATTTGTATCCGAACATTCGGTATGGAATTGAACTAGATAAAATCCAAAGGAACGTTACACAATATAATATAAGAAAGAATTGTGTATAAAATTTCACTTATATAGAACACTCATCTTCAATAGCAGATTTCGAAGTTTCGGAATAAGACATTTGTATTACATCATCACAACCATTCTAAATAATATTACAAGTTGACGCACTTGTTTTATTTATTACATTACGACTATATATGTCAGGGGTGAGAGAAATCCACTCATGTCACGATAATAATAAGTAAAGACATTCTCGTACGCTTCTTTAAGAGATCGGGTCGCCTGGTATCACAAAGGTTTTGTTAGTGATACCTGATAAGGCCCAGTACCATTCAAGGATCTGGAAGAGCAAGGGAAAGGCCTTTAATCGTGAGCAGAGCTCATGCAACTGTCCCTTCTGGAAAAACCTGTGAAGATATAACCAAAAGGGGAAATGACAAAGTTCCTCGAAGAAGCCATTGTATGGCGAAACACATGTTGCGTTTTTGTAAAACTGTTTAGTGAAAATCTTACAATAAAGTGTTTTTTTATTTCAACTTCAAGTATTCTCCACAGAAAGTATTATCTGGATTTAATCCTGTTACTGAAAGTATGAAACAAAATTAATTAAATTTCATCATATAATTAATGGTATTATTACCTCAGAAGCTTTTGTTGGATCAGTTCGAGTAAAATCAATTGTGCCTATACTTGATCTCATTCAACCTTCCTCTCAAGTTTTGGAAGATTCAACAGATTACCCAAGCGAACTTATAACGCTTGAATTTAGTAGTTATATTAGAAAGAGGTATGAACAAGAAGCGGAAATAGGGGCGTGACGTCATCACCCTACCACATTAGATTTTTAATAATTAATTACAGGTAAACTACGGTACTTGGAGAGATGACACAAAGTGCACTGTTTTTCAATTTAAAATTTCTATCAAGTGAACTATAAACAAAAAATCATAAAAAAATCCCATTGCCATCATGCACTGGAGGAAATATTTTGAATTGTGACCTATGACTTGTTCATGAATTCATTTTCAGTAACAACTTTTTATGGATTTGTTTTTCTTATTACAGGCTTGTATTCTCCCAAAGCTTGGGTGAACTTAATCTCATAGAACATTTTTTGAATACTTATGGTACAGAAAAATGTTTATCATGGAAAAAAGCAGAAGATTATTATCGAATGGATGGTACTGTAAATACTGGAGACAGAACTAAAATTTGTGATAAATTCAATGATACAACTAATAAGAAGATAAGGTGAGTAATTTTCGTAAGATAATGTATATGGGTATTTTCAGTAATAATTATTCATTTTAGGTTGTTACTGATGTCTACTAAAGTAGGTGGTTTAGGATTAAATTTGACTGGTGCTAATAGAGTTATAATAATGACAGTGAGTTGGAATCCTTCGTATGATACTCAAAGTGTATTCAGGGCATACAGATTTGGTCAAGAAAAGGAAGTTTATGTTTATAGGTTAATTTCATTGGTGAGTTAGATCTTATTAACTATTTAAAAACACAAGTATATTAGGTATAGTTTACCTCCCCCACAAAAATTAATGCATTATTTTATCACGATCCAGCGGTACCCTGCATAATTTGTTATACCATGTGGCTGACAATATTATTTGTGAATCTGTACGAAAGTTCTTTGTGATTTCGAAAATATCTGACAGTAAAAACATGAAAAAAAGTATAAATAGAATTCCTCAAATTATTTCATTCAGATTATTTTAAACATAGAGTTGTTGTGGTTAGCGTGTCATTGATATATTTTATTTTTGATCACCTTTGTTAATGATGAATGCCCCCAATACTTAACACATCATTTGAGCGAAGTGGAAATGGTAAAAGTAATTACAGTTCTTGAGAAAGGTAGAAGTCAGTACCATGTGGAAAATCTCGTTATCATAGCATCATTTTGATAGTGCTAGCTATGTTGCAAGAAAAGAACGGAGGAGAAAAGTACATTTTAAAGTTAACTGCGTCAACTATTGTATAACGCGAAACCTTAGAAATGAGATCCTAGATGCTCAAAATTTTCATGTATGTCGGACAAACAGTTTGGAATTGTTAATACAACATAAGAACTAGAGTGTCAGCCCCTAGTTCAAGACTTACTAGGAGGCATCGGACCTGAACCTGTCATTGGCATCGCTTTAGGCTTTGCCAAACAACCATTGAACACCTGAATGGCAAGAATATTCATGGACTTCTGGCAGAATCTTCCAGGATTGGCTCACTCTTAGGCGTTTATTCACCCTTCGAAGCTTAATACCAAACAGTTGTTGGACTAAAGTAGGGATGAACTACGATGCCTTCTTACAGGTCACTGTCATTTGAATCATCATATGCAGACTCAGACTGTCGGAAGACAGTTTGGAAAATGATGAAACAGCAGAGCACATACTTTGTGCCTGCCCCGCTGGGCAGCAGATCAGGTTTTTAAAGTTCGGCAGAGCCGTACTCTTACCATCTGACCTGAAAGACCACTCATCATACAAACTAATCGGCTTCGTAACGAAGCTAGGTTTATTTAGTCGAGTGTGAATAGGTGTGAGCCAAAATAAACCCTTGCGGGTTGCGGTGGAGGTTCGAACAGACACCCTCACTTTGGAGCTAACCTAACCTACAAGGAGGCGTCTTAGAGTCAGTGTCACTTTTTCCGGGTTTGAAGGCCGTGGATTTTTTGAATTTCTTGAGAGGTTTATACATCCTGAGTTGATTTCTCCGATTACTGGATATTACGGCTACGTAACGGGTATTTATGTTGACTCTTCAAATAGTTTGGTGTGCTATTACCTGTATCTGGCATAGGTAAATTACGTAAAGCGTGTTTATATTGGTGTGATAATATCTTTACCTGGATTTGGTAAATTTTCAATAACGTTCGTTGACCCTTTTCTACCTGCCGTCATGCTGTTCGCTATTTTTGAACCTCTTAGAATAGGATTCCATATTCGATTGAGGTTTACAGATTCTTCTTTTCTGTTTCTTAACGCGTATTTATGCTATATCAGGTAGTTAAGAGTGCTACCTGTAATACCTGTACCTGGATTAGGTAATTTGTCGGTAACATTCATTGACTATTTTCTACCTACTGTCATACTTTTTGCTATCCTTGAACTTCTTCAAGATTCTATATTCTATTGAGGTTTACCGCTTCTTCATTTCTGTTGAAATTATCCGTGTGTTTGTGGATCTCTATTGCCTCCCGTACCGGTCGTCTATGGTATCCCTGGTTGAGGGGAACGAGTTCTATGTTTTCAAACAAAATCCTGTGGTTTCCTTTGTAGAGTGCGTGTTCTGCCACAACTGACTTATCCGTTTGACCAGTCTGCAGTTTCTTTCATGCTCCTTCAGTCTTGTTCCCATAGATATTTTGGTGATTCCGATGTACACCTTCCCACAAGTGCACGGTATGCGATAAACCCCTGCTGCTGATAAAGGATCCTTTTTGTCTTTAGCCGACCTAAGGTACACACACAATTAAGTACACAATTAAAAACTTAGCCACAGGAGATCCTCTTTTATCTATTTCTGACAGTACATTGTTATGAAAATGTAAGGTGGCAGTTGTGGTGGATTTGCCCTTTTAAAAGCTATATTGTTGGTTAGGTAACTATTGATAATTTTAATAAAAGGAATAAGTTGGTCAAGCATTCAATACTCTGTAAGCTTGGCAAAGAGATGTAGTTCTGATACTAGCCTGTATTTTTCCACACGTTTGATCACGTTTCTGTAAACTGAAGTAATTTCAGCTGACTTGAAATGAATGTTTGTTTTAGAGGAATGATTAATTATGATAATTCACTACCGAAATATTTCACAATAGTTCTCCTTGAAACCAATTAGGTATCTAGGTGAAAAATTCTAGTGAAAATCAATGTGACTTTGAATTGTTGAATATTTTGTCTTGTATCTGTGATGAAAAATAACTAGGCAACCAATTTCCTGTTTCAATTATGTTGAATAGGAAGAAAGTAACACTGATGAGAAGTTGTTACATTACATCATATGAACGTTCCAGAAACTTTATTTTGCCTATTCAAGCAAGGGAAGATGCAGCCATCAGTTAGCTTACGGCACCACAGCGATAGCAAGCAAAGTAAATCAGTATAATAAATGTAAAGTGATTTTGTAGTAGCATTTTCAAGTTGAATTTTTTGTGTCATACCAGAGTTTTCCTAATTTTCTTTTCGCCTTCATTACATTTCTAAATTTTTTGGTTTATAACGACAAAATTTCAACTTAACAAATATAATGAATTACGCAAATTTTTATTTGGTTAATATTTACCTACAGTTATTTTTAATAAGATGAAGATTAAAGTGAGAATGTTATTTGGGGACCAATCATTATTGTGTTTACTAAACTTTTTGACAAAAATTTCAGGATACAATGGAAGAGAAAGTTTATCATCGTTCTGTAACGAAACTAGCGATATCTCACCGGGTGATAGATAAACATCAAATCACAAGACACTATCAAAGAATGCACTTGCAGGAATTGTATTCGTGTAAACCTTCTGCTGACGAAGAACGGCCAACGCCAAATGTACCCGAAGATCAGATGCTTGCTAAATTGATACTTCAATTACCTTGCATTTTCAAATATCATGAGCACAAAGCTTTGTTGGCTAACAGACCAGAAGACAGCCTCAGTGAACAGGAATTGACAGCTGCTTGGGAAGCTTGGAAAAATAATGAAAATTCTGCCAGTGAGTTTTGTCATATATATGAATTTCATAAGAAACATTACATTACTAAAGTAATAAGTGAAAGGTAGAACTGAAATCTCTGACATGTAATCCAACATAAGCCCTGTTCCCACTCACCAGAACTGCAACACTCTTCTCGATGCATCTAGAGTTGCAGTTCTTATGTATAGGAGAAGTGATAATAGGATGTCGAAGTTAAGAACCTAGTGTTATAACAATTTGTTTTGATATAGCTGACAAAGTTTCTTGTTGAATGTTAGAGATTCAAACTTCCATTGTCTAAAAAATGGCAACATTTAAAATCCATCAAAAAATATAATGGATTTTATGAAGTAATAAATTTACTAGAATCGAAATATAGTAATGAGTTATAAAAAAATTAAAATAACATAAAAAAATGTAAGAAGATACAAAAAAGGTAATATGAAATGTAATACTATGAAAATTTATGTTAGACAACAACATGTGAAGTAAAAAAACTAATCAATACAGTTTATTGTATGATTTTTACTATAAAAGGGTTTTACAAAAACCGCGACACGTGTTTCGCTACACAATAGCTTCCTCAAGCATAAACAGTTTATGCTTGAAGAAGCTATTGTATAGCAAAACACGTGTCTGGTTTTTGTAAAACCCTTTTATAGTGAAAATCATACAATAATTTATATTGATTAGTTTTTTAATATGGATTTTCATCAAGTATCGGCCAGTTCTATTCAACATGTGATTTGTCAAAAATATATAAAAAGTAAAAGAGAAATAATGGTGAAAAATTCATAATGAGAAGAAAAAAGGTTTCAAATCCAGAAACTTCACGATGTTTTCATTATTGGTATCTACAAACGTCTTCATCGTCCACTCACTAGAGGTATTGAACATTTTTCCTGTGCTCTTCTTTTTACTTATTGACAGTGAAGGACTCCTTAAAATCCCTATGGAATATTGGTCTCGGTGTATTTTTTTGAATTTTGACATGATGTGGTCTATGTAATTCTCAACCAATGTTACCATTGCGCCAACCCCAAAAAAATGAACAGTTTTGCCACTAGGGGTCGTTAGAATCACCCCTTTCTCAGAATAGAAATCGGGAACGACATTTTCACCTGTTTCATTATAGATAATGTTGCATATCATTATGCTCTTTTATAAAAAAATTATTCACCCCTCCCCTTTTCCCCTACCACCTATTATGAAACGCAAAAAAATGATATCTAGTTTACTTTCAAATGCATCGTCGGATGTTTGAATATGCTTGAATTAGTAAAATAGCACTTTTTCATATGATTATCCCCCTCATCCGAGGGGTACAAAACAAAAAAAAAATCGGTGGATTGTTCTGAATTTTCAATATGATACAGTTCATATTTTTGTGAATAGAAATTAATTAGGTGATAAACTCCAAATGGATATTTTGGATGCTAGGGGGCGTTAAAGTCATATCTTGCTCAGAACAGGCTATTATTTATAATAGGCGGAAACGATATTTGTGCGTGTTTAATTTTAGATTATGTTGAGTCATATTATATTTTTTAATACATTCAGGACAAGTTTCAGTGAGATGAGGGTGAACTTATTCAAGTAGATGAACATTTCAACCCAAGAAATACCCCTTATCAATAAAACTATCAATTTTTGGAGTTTATTACCTAATTAGTTTCCATTCACAATAACATGCACTGCATCATATTAAAAATTAAGAAAAATCCATCGGGGGGAGGGGGGATAATCTTATGAAAAAGTGCTATTTCCCTAATTCAAGCATATTCAAACATCGACGATGCATTTCAAAGTAATCCAGATAAAATTTTTGCATTTCATAATAGGTGGTGAGGGTAGAGGGGGGGAGTGAAGATTTTTTTTAAAGAGCATAATCATATGCAACATTACCTACAATGAAACATGTGAAAATGTCATTCCTGGTTTCGAAAATGAATAGTCTATTCTGAGCAGCAAAACTATTCATTTTTTGGGGTTGGTGCCTTGGTAACATTGGTTGAGAATTACATGGACTACATCGTCATAAGGATTTTGCGGGGTCCTTCGTGGAAAGATCTGGAGTATTTTCCAAAGGGGCGAATTCTTTTCAGACTACTTTTCAGAAATACCCAGGGTTCATCTATAAACAGTGAGATCCTTTTAAAATGAAAACACTCTCACAAAACTTTTTCAACTGATTGGCGGTTTTTTCCATTATGTAGATATTTGAGAAGTCTACTAGAACACAAACTCTTCGTGAATGATTCTTACTACACCAAAGGTTCCAAACAGTACATCATAAATCAAGACTAATATTTAATATTTTCTTATGAACAACAGCGCTTTTTTCGTGTTACCTTCCTTTTGTTCATACTCTATATTTATCAATATTTTGTATAGTTTTGTCCTATCAACGTCTGCTAGTTATTTTCGTTTTACTTCAAAAAGGATGCTGTCCATAATCTGTGTAATTGATGACTTGTTTATTTTGTGGAAATTCATGGTCACTTTAAAGAAATGATTGAATAAAACTAGTGTAAGTTAGACAAAAGTGTTTTCATTCATTTCATTGAAGCGATGCTGTCCATAGTAACGAGTTTAGATTTCTTTTCCGAATTTGATTGCTTGCGGTGAATCTAAAGACTTTGGATGAAGCCGATTTTATATCTTTTTCAAATCCGTCCCACTTCTGGAATTATTAATCACACTTTTTAATTCATATTCACATACGTACTGGTGAATTTGCAGTTCCTGATTGGGAGGTTCACCATTGTTCTTTTTTTCAGTAAAATAGTCTAAAGTATTCAAGACAATTTCATTAATATCTAAACTATGCTGGGGCATATTGACCAAACACAAAAAATATGTACTCTATACTAAACTCACAAAACCCATACTTCATATGGACATCCACTCACTTTGAAACATCTGACCTGAATGAAACCAGTTGATAAATTGATGAATGTTGCCGTTACTACGTGGTAGGAGATCATCAGGATCATCATGAAAATTGAGACATTAAACTTCCTGTTTTTATACCACTTGTAACTAACGTTACGTCAAACTACCAATACAAGTGTTATACCAACATAGAAAGTCTTATTTCTACATTTTCATGAAACCAGTTAGCATATGGGTATATGTAGCTTTACTTTAGTTTTATGGCAAATGTACTGTATGAAGTTTTCTGATCGTATTTTAGATACTCCAGCAAAACCACATGCAGTTCTACCACAAAGAACTCAGGCAGTCCCTCCGCAAAAGACTCAGGGAGTCCCTCCGCAAAAGGCTCAGGGAGTCCCTCCGCAAAAGGCTCAGGGAGTCCCTCCGCAAAAGGCTCAGGGAGTCCCTCCACAAAAGGCTCCGGGTGTCCCTCCACAAAAGGCTCAGGGAGTCCCTCTACAAAAGGCTCAGGGAGTCCCAACACAAAAGGCTCAGGGAGTCCCAACACAAAAGTCTCAGGCTTTACCAGCACAAAGGGTTCAGGCAGTACCACAACAAAATAATCAGGCAGTCCCTCCTCAAAATAACCATGCAGTTTTTCATCCAATGAGTCATGTAGCAAACCCTCCATTGCCCCCTTTGATTGAAGCCCTAAACTATGGTGTTGGCCGATCTAACCTGAATCAGCTTGCCAATACCAACCTATCTAGAGCACCACCAATTAATTCTTCATTAGATGATAATTTAAGGCAGTACTACATTCCAAAAAAAAAGTAAGTTGATGAGTGAGAGGAAACATGAGATTGTTTTGTTTTTGAAATTTACATTTACCTAATTTTTTTATTTTAGCGTTATTGTCTCTTCTCCCACAGTGAATTCACATATTATTGAAAATCGCACTAGTAATGGTGTTCTACCTAGTCAAAAACTGTTGTCTACTTCAGAAAATACAAATCAATCAGAATCAACAAGAAACATTTCAAAACGTGTCAGTAAAGTTATTCCACCCAGTAGGTTCAGACGTCAAGACAATGTGTTACCTACAGTACCTGTTGCAAAAAAAATCAACTTTTCATCTAAATCTGTGAGAAAATACAATTTGATTAAGTCATCAACTATTAGTGCTGATACGCGGTTCCAAAACAGCAGTCTCGCTCCAGGTAAGATTAGTTATTACTATTTGGTGTAAGATAATAATTGTTAATGAGGGAAAAAACAGTTTGATGATTATGTTAAGGAGAAATACATACACCAAGAAAATAAATATTTTGAGTGTAATTCAAAACACTCACCTTATTAAATGACTGTCAGAAAAACTGTTTGTGTAAGTCACAGAATAAGAGATAATTCAAATTCTAACATGATAATTGCAAACAATATAAGAAGACCAGGAGTTCTGGATGTGAATACAGAAGTTATATTTTGGGGCCATATATACAGGGTGGGGCACCCCCATGAGACACGGTTCCTGTAAACCAAACCATTAATTTTTTCGTGAATGTCTCCATTTCTTTTTATATATATTGATTAAAGCTACAGAAGAAAATTATTTTGGAGTCTACAGGCTGACTCAAAAAAGGGTGTCATATCGAAGATTTCATAACAGGTACCATGTACCTAACTATAAACGTTCTCGAGTTATTGATTTTTTTATAAAAATATTAAGTACAATTGGTGAGTAGGTAACATCAAAATATATAGAAATCATCCCTTCAAATTCTGACCAAGCATAAAAGAGGTTTTGGGCTATTGTTTATAAATTCTTGTAATTCTTGCAGTTATTTGTTCTTCATTGTGGACTTTTACTGATCGTTCTTGTTTACTGTCATTATTGCTGTTACTATCAGCACCTAGCTGATTTCAGCAGAAAATAATTTCTGATTTTTTTTAAATTCTTTTCCATCTTTTCACCAAATTCTTTAAATTTATTTTGCTTTTTGGCTATGACTGGTTGTTTGGCTATCTATCTTTGTTTTTTATATACCTCATAATTTTTCAGCTGTTCTGTTATCGAGATTTTTTTCCATTTGTTCTTATGCTTGACTTGTTCTTTTATAGTTGCTGTCCACGCCTTTTGTTTTACTTTTTTCTTCTCTGTAATCATTACTACCAATAAAATGGTGTTTTAGATATGGCAAAAAGTGTGTATTATGCTTTAATCGATTCACATTTGAGATATGGAATCTATGGTGTTGGCCGATCTAACCTGAATCAGCTTTACATCTTCAACCATAGATGTTTCTTTTTTTTTAATTAGTATTTAATCAATAATTGACTTTTGTGCTGTTAACCTCTCTTGTATACTTGTGTATATCCTCATGTTGAAAGAATGTGTTGGTAATTGTTAGGTTATGAATCATACAGAAGTCAAGCATTTTGGTTCCATTGTTATTTCTGATGTTTTCTCTATGATTGCCTATCATTTCGCTATATGTTGCATCTTTTATTCCAACTCGACTATTAAAAACTTCTACTATCAAAATTGTTCTTTTTGCTTCATCCTGCTGAAAATAGATTATCTGACGAGCCTTCAGATCAAGATCATCGAAAAACTCTTCCAACACTCTTGTTGATAAATCAATGTAACGGTGTCCGTTCAAAGAACCATGGTAGAAAAATGGACCGATAATTCTGCCTCTAAATAGACCACACCATAATATTTCTATAGAAGTTTGGATCTTGTCTGCATTTATTCATAAACCACCGACAAAACCCTAACCGTCTCTTAGGGTCACCAGGTTCTAGTGTTTGGTCTTAACTTATAAGGAGAAATCTTGTGTTTCTTCAGAATTCGTTGAATAACAGACGGTGGAACAGCTATTTCTCTAGATAAATCTCTGATGGAACTATTTGGATTTACCTCAAAGTAGGCTAAAACGTCAATTTTTAGATTGATTTTACAAAACGTTTTTTAATTCTCTTCTCAAAAATGTTTTCATTGTTCCCTGAATCGACGATGAAGCACAGTAAAAAGAACGCCGATTAGATTATTCACGACCGGGGAACGAATTGCTGTAGTGTTGGATTGTGCCGACTTAATTTGGCACCCTGTGCCAAATTATCTGGGATAACTAGTTTTTATAATCGTTTTTGCTCTCTCTAATTGTTCTAAACCTGCACCGTTGTTGGATGATACCTGCCTCTTAATAACTTTCTTTTCTGTTTGCTCATTGTTAGTGTCATTTCTATCTGTACGGTATATATCCTGTACGGTATATATTCGACTTTCCTTTAACCTTAACAAACTATAAATATCTGAAAGGATGCTACTTACTATTTGGTTTCAATTAACAATAAATTTATATAAATTCTGTTGCGGAATTGATCTGTCATGAAATCTTGACTGGAAAAAGTACCTTCAAATGAATAATCCATTATATTTTCCACAAAAAATAATTTATTTTGAATAATTAGTTTTTTTTTAGAAAAAATTATAACAATATTTTTTATAGGACTTACCAGTGTTAATAAGAATATGGAAAGACTACAAGGAAACAATAAAACAAACTTGATGCTTCCAAACATGCCGAAAGATATCAATGTTGTTAAATCAAAATCGCCAAAAATTTTAGGAACAGAAAGAAGACTGGTTCCATGTCCATTACCTCTAGGTATTCATTCTAACGTCAAAGAAAATCCATTTAACAGAAACCAAACCAAGAGTCAAGTTAACATCGGCAACTCTACAAATGAGACGGGTAACGTGAGAAGTAAACAAATGAACTCGGTTTCATCTTCAAGTGGCAATGAATTTAACAAAAAAAGGCATTCAAATGAAAATTCTCTTCCACCTCAAGATAGGAGAAATTTGGTGAGCAAAAGACGACATTTAGATGATTCTTCAAAAAAGTCTAAGAGAATCAAAGGAGCTCATGTACCATTAGGCAACAAAGGGGATGTTTCAACAATTATTTTAGATGACATACCCAAGAAACCTCATCAAAAAGAAAACGGCACAGGATCTAGTAATGAAAGTAGGCTAGTCTCAATTAATATAGATGATGAAGCTGATGTAATTTTTGACACTTCTTCTGAATCTGGTTCTTTATCAAATGAAATTATCAACAATTTGAAACTGAGCGGAGTTTCAGTTCGCCCAGTAAACAGTAAGTAGCAACTCCCAGCGTTATTTCACCTTTAAGGAAACTTTATATTTACGCAATTTGCTTCTTGCAAATAGCGTAAATAGCTACAATAGTTTGAAAATTGTTGATGCAAAACAAACGAGAAGTGTATCATCTGCAAAGATGTTCATGAAATCACATTTGACATAGAGATTAATTTCATTAGAATATGGAATAAACAAAAGTGGCCCCAAGACACTACCCTGCGATACACTGATTGTTATGTCAATCTCAGTAGAAAACAAATCATTAACTTTTACTTTTTGTTTTCTTGCATTTAAATAATATGAGATCCATTTCTAAACAATACCATCCTTATCATACCCTCTAAATTTGAAAGAATATCATGGTTAATGGTTTCAAATGCTCTTTTCAGCACTAAAAATTCTACAACAACGTATTTGTCATCAACTTCTGTTTTGTATTTACCCAAGGCGACTGCAGTGCTGTCTCACACTTTTTGTCTGAACCTGATTGGTTATTTAGTAATATTTCATTTCATTTCATCAATTATTCAAGATGGCGGGCAGCGCAGGTAGTCTGTCACTTGCTCCTAAAGAAAGTGAAAATATGATATTAAACATTGGTCTAAAAAAGTTGTGAATAAGGTAAAATGTGTGAAATGTAGTGAAAACTTCCATTAAAAGTTCCTCAAACAGGCAAGAGACCAAAAATGCAGAATGCAGACATGAACCAGATAAACAAACGGATGACATCATATATCTATCAGAAGAAGAGTATCTGAAGGAAGAAAACAAATTACTAAGGCAAATATTGGCCGACAAAGATACCATAATTGCCGACGAAGAGCAAGTCATTAAATTGTCGCAAAAGAAAATAGCATCTATGGAAGAAAAAGTCACGTTAATTAATAAGAAGAGAAGACAGACTGAAAAATATCAAAACTCCAACAAAAAACAACGTAAGTAAAGAGAAGTCTCCTGAAAAAAGTAAATCCAAACAAATGTCCGAACAACATTAAGGTGATTCAGAAATTCATAGCATACAGGGAAGCACAAGCAATGAAAACATATCAAAATACAACCATAAATCTGAAAACCAAACGGCACTTTTAGAAGAGAATCAGAGGAGGATTGTAGACATCATCATCAATATAAATAATGAATAGAAAAATAGTGAACGTTTCATGGAAGTAACAAGAAGGAAACGTAAATATCGGTAGAGGTGCAGGAGATGATAATTTGTATGGGTTGAATAATCAGCACAAAAAAATATGGTTATTAGTAACACAAGTTCCAGATTATATAAATGAAGAAAATATTAAAACATATATAGAAAGGCACACCAAGACAAGCCTGTCACCAGAAAATCAAGAAATTGAAATTATAAAACTGCAAATCCTCCACACCAGACGCAATAATCAGTCCTTCATAGTGGACGTGTCACCGAATCTAAAGGACAATTTGTATAATCCTAGTTTCTGGCCAAGAAACATTACATTTGAGAGATTTGACTTCAGGAAAGGCAAACAAACACCTTCTCAACAACCAAAACACTTGCAAAGAAAATGTAAACCAACCAGCTACTTTTTTAGAGGTGACTCAGACGTAAAATTTTCGAGAATGAAGACCCTATTATTACACCAAAATGTCCAATCCCTAAGAAATAGCATCGACATGATGCAAAAAATTATTGAAGACCTGAAGTGCCCAATAGTAAGCATAACTGAAAAATGGCAAACACAACTGGGTCTAAAACTTCATTCATTCAAAGAACACAACCTAGTATCGAGCCATTGCAGACCAGAAAACCAACATGTAGGTTCAGTGATATATATTTCAAAGAAGATTGTCAGCAGTCCAATTCATGAAATGGATACCATAGCTGAAGACTACGTCTTTGAATGTTCCAGCGCTTTCTGCAAGATAGATAGGACAAATGGATATTTTATACAAAAAAAATAATTAAATTTTATTGCAGGAGATTTTAACATTGACACGGTTTGTTTGGAAAGTAGGGCTTGCAGTGACTTCAGAAATCTGTTAGCTACCTACAATTATACTTTAACAATAACTGAACCGACCAGGGTCACTCCCCAGTCCAGCAGTTGACTTGATTAATATCATTACAAACTTTGAAGGAGATATGAAAGGAAAAGTCATTGAAACAGGTATATCGGACCACTCAGGGCAGGTGTTACTTGTGAATGGAAAAAAACAATCAACTAACAAAATAGTAAGACATCAGTATAATTCTAAATCTGTAAATTATTTCTGTATACAACTTTGGTGTGAAAACTGGTTAGTTGTTTACACCGCGGAAAATTTAAACGATGGTTTTTCACACTTCAGTTCAACTTTCGGTTTTTATTTTAATATGCACTTTCCAAAAACAGAAAAACAATTAAAATCTCATAAAGGAATTTTCAACTCCCCAGAAATTACACAAAAAAAAAATGACCCAAACTATAAGACAATATAAGGCATATACAAAGAGCAAAAAAAGAATTACAATAACCGTTTAGAAAAGACATGAAAAGATAACTTTACAAACAGATCAGCTAAGTCAGACAATAAATCCAGAGCAATTGTGGCAAGTTATCAAAAAAGTGACAGGGTCACCTCAAAATGGACAGTTTGAAGCTGATAATCCGCATGAGGTTGCGAATCGCTCTAATGAATACTTTATAAATGCGGCACATGAACTCTTGATGATACAGAAAAATATAGGTATGGAGGTAAGTGGATTTGAAAGATCAATAGACTTACAGGTTACACCTTTTTCTTGAACCCTATAACAGAATGTGAGCTGATGTCAATAGTAAATAATATGAAGAACAAGAAAAGCACGGATATTGATGAAGTAACAATCCATATACTAAAAAAATGTACACATGAAATTGTAACAGTTTTAATCCATTTAATCAATCGTTCTTTTGAAGAGGGTTTTTTCCAGATGAATTCATGGTAGCTCTAGTGAAGCCACTTCATAAAGAGGAAAATAAGTCGGAACTTTCCAACTTCAGATCTATTAATTTACTGACTTGTATATCAAAAATTTTTGAATTAGCTCTGGGCAAACGATTTGTTTCCTTTTTTTACAAAGTTCAACATGTTTGCTAATCACCAACATGGATATCTATATCTATTCATTTTAACAATGAAATTATAGAATCAATGGAAAGGGGAGATCTGTCCTGCGAAATTTTTCTATATTTATTCAAGGCGTTTGATTGTATAAATTTTGCTGCACAAACTTTTTAAATAGGGTATACGAGGTAACACTTATAATTGGTTTAACTTATATCTTAAAAACAGTACAACTCAACCAGAAAAATAAAACAGTTAGTTCAAATGCCTTGGCTACATTGATAGGAGTCCCGTAGGATAGTATTCTCGGCCCAATATTATTTATTATTTTTATCAATGACGTCAGCGAGGCTACAAAAAATTTAATTCTGCTCATCTGATCAACTATGCTGGTGACACCAATCTCCTGTTGACTGGTGACACTTTACCAGATATAATCAAGAATGGAAGTGAAGCAATCAAAAAATGCAAAGAATATTTTTTGAGAAAAAGTTGATTCTGCCTTATATTCAAAACTAACAATAGTTTAGAACACACATAACACTTGATAACGAAAAAATTATTTGCAATACCTCAGTGAAGTTTCTGGGCATCAACATTGATGATACTTTAAATTGGACAATTCAGATAGACAATATATGCACTAGATTGTCTTCAGTAATATATGGGATAAGAGTATTTAAAAAAAATGTTGATCTCGAAGTATTATCAACAGCATATTATGGAGTTCAAATAATAATTATGCAGAGTTTTTCTGTGTCAGAAAAGCGTGGTACAAGTACTTTTCAATAAAAATTCTAGGGATTCCTGTAGGGGAATTTTTAGATCAAATAAGTTGTTCACTGCACCAGCAGTTTATATCCTTGAAACAATAAAATTTCTAATTTCTTACTCAAATCTTTTCGAGAAACACCATAAAACCCACTTTTATGAAACAAGACATCCCATTTACACAAAGGCTCTGTGTGAGCATAGCACCATCTACCAAGCTATTTAATTTTTAACAGAATCCTCCCAAATATACGCAACATTAAGGTTGTAAGCAGATTTCTGAAGTCTTTGAAAGTATTCTTACTCGATCAGGAGCCCTACACTATTGAGGAATTTTTTCAAGGTGTGTAAAGATGCAAAATTTCCATTTAAATCAATTTTTTTTTATTTGAAAATTTTAGTGTGATGTATTCTAATTTTTTAGCATCTACTTTTATATATACTTACATTAAAATTCCATATGCTTAAAATGTATGTAGTTTTAAAATTTAGTACTTGTGACGTACTTTTACGCTCCTTTCACACAATACGATTTTGGTCGTCCGGTAAAAAGTCGGACGACCACATTCCATTAGTTAAATACGGAAATATACGAAATCTTTCACACAGGACGACAACGACTTATTGTCGTGTCTTTGTCGTACAGCTGTCGTCCACTGCCACTGCAATGGACGACGGTCGTGCCGTTCTCTGATAACAGTGACAAACGGCATCAAATGGACGTTTGTACACAATACGATTTTTAGTCGTGTGATATCTGCCGTATCAATTGAATCCAGTGGCACGTAGTAAAATGGCTGAAAATATCGATGTGGAATTTCTAATTTCACTAGTTGAAAGTAGACCAGTACTTTTGGATAAAACCCTCGAAAGTTACAAAGATAGAAATGTAACTAAAAATGCGTGGCGTGAAATTCTCCTGGAGGTAAAACCAGATTTTGAAGAGCTGGAGGATAAAGAAAAAAACACATTTGGTAAGTTGCATTTTTACTTTATTTTGCATTCAAAGTATTATACACTCTGATCAGAGATCTCAAATGGGGTTAAAAACCTGAATATAATTATTAAGTAAATTTAAAATATTTTCAGGGTGTTTTAGTTTTAAAATAGTTGATGTTTGTTTATAAACATCACTTTTATCTTTGAATCAATTAAGTAAAACGAAAAACGATTATTTGAGTACTCCTTTTATATTAATTAAAAGACACATCAAACTTAACAATCGCAACGGTACAAAAAACATATGCCACTAAATGTGCTTTTTGAATTCATACAACAAAGACGGAAGGAACTTCTTCAGAGGGCTTGTCGTTCTGACCAAAAGCGTCGTTGCCGTATTGACACAAAAATCCCTCGGTTATATTATAAACAGTTATAAAACAATTACACATAATTCTGTTTTGAATTTGAAGTCACATTACAACAATTTAAAATTCGTACAGTAAGTAAAGTCAAATAAAAAATATTTTTGAGGTAAATCTCATATTTTTATAAATNCAGTAGAAATTCCAATTCGATAAGTATAATGTAGCTCAGTAAAGGTACAGCCACTTGCCAGATATCTGAAAAGAATCACGTATCTTCATATTTCTTAAAAATGAATAAATAAATATTAGTATTTGTTATTTCATTTATATTTTAGGTAAGGACGTTATAAGACGGTGGACTAATCTTCGAGGTGCGTTCGCTAAGTCTAAAAGAAAAATGAAAGACAGCAAAAGAAGTGGAACAGATGCAAAAAAACCCTAGAAATATGTATATAATAATCAGCTTCAATTTTTTAACAAACTGTACGAAGTTAGAGAGACAGTTGATAGTTTGAATGACGAAACCAGACACGGAACTGAAAACAATTCGGAACACAAAGAGGTTGAGGCAAATGCTAGTTTCACGATTGACGAAACAATAAATAAACGTACGAGAAATAGGAAACATCGCAAACCTGATGAGGTGGAATTAAAAATTATGAAGGCATTAGAGCCTGAAAACAAAATAGTAAAATGTCTTTCTTCCAGAGTTTGTTGCTTCACCTTGACAGATTTGATTAAAATGAATTACTTCAGTTCCAAATGGGCGTTTTGCAAGTGATTGCAAACATCAATGAAAAAAGAAGATGGTTCCTCATGTCCCTCCTCCTTTTCCTCAATATATTCCTACACACTCTCACTCGCAGCAGTTTGCGTTCCAGCTTGCTCCTTCTTTTCCTCAACATTCGCAACTTACTCAGTCCCAATCATCTACACCATCATTTACTCAACTTTTTCCCACTCAATCTTCTTCAACTAATAATTACAAAATACAATCAACACGTCAGTATTATCAAGATTGCGGGGCATCATCTGGAATGACATCTCCAATGATAGATCCCAGGGACAGTTCCACTCCGCTCTCTCAGGACTTCAGCACAGTTGATAGTGTAGATTTTACTTCCCTCTAATGTCTTTATTTGTAAAACTTTGTAAAATTCAGGAATTTTCTTTATTTTGTTATTACAGAGCAAAAATAAATGACTTGTTTTATTAATGGTTTTAATATGCTAGAATTATTCAACCAACTCTGGCCTATGTCTATCGGTTCAAGTGATATCAACAAAAAATATACGAAATTATAACGATCTAAACAAAATTTTTTCTTAGAAATTTATTATAACAATTGAGGACTTAAAGAAAATTTATAAATTGTTTGTTTCTTGTTCTACATCTCGTTTTTGCATAAAAATAAGACTTGGGTTTATTTAATGAAAAACAAAAACGCCAAAATTTAGATTATCATTAAGAGTATAGAATAAAAATTTCGTAGTTTGTAAAATGGTATCCAAACTTACCTCAAAGTGACAGCCAACATTTCTATAGGTTGAATACAATTTCTCTTTTTTGTATTTCGCCGTTGAAGAACAGTCTTCAGTTTATCATGTAATTCATCGAAGGAACTCATTGACATGCGGAAGTAATTAAAAAATTTGGTTTGGTCATTTCTTAAATCTTCAAAGAGTATACGAAATGAACCTGCTTCTTCTCTCCTTCTATTGATTGGATGCACCCAATGTAGGTGATTACGTTTCTGCCTTTTTTTACGACGATAAATTAACCATAATGCCAAAATTTTTGCCCGATTTGATGCGACGCCTTGTGCTCTCTCGGACATCACGATAAATACTAACGATAATATGTCGTTATGTGTGAAAGCCAGTGAGTTTAGGTAGAATTCCGCAACAAGCGACCGAGACAGGAGACCGAGACAGGCGACAGATAGGAGAGACCGATTGTGGTCTCTCCAGGACCTCTAATGCAATTACATAGAGGTCGTTCTGCAGCCCGAGACAGAGACAGATGACA